CCCAGGAAGAAGAGGCCTTGATGAGCCTGTGAGGCCCAGGAGGGACAGCTGCTCTGTCTCCCTGGAGACCCCATTCCTGTTACACCTGCAGGCACCTCTGATCAAGTCAGCTCCTGGTGTCCTGTCCCTGGAGACAGAGAGAGACAGAGACATAGAGAGGGAGAGATAGAGAGGGGGAGATGGAGGGAGACAGAGAGTGGGACAGAGGGAGGGAGGGAGAGACAGAGAGAAAGAGAAACAGAGGTCTGCCTGGGACAGGGGTTCAGGGGTGCCTGGCTGGCCCCCATTTGGCCTTTGGCTGCCTGCATGGCTGGAAATAGGCATCTTGCTGTGGTGGTGGAATTGGCTAAGAAGCCTCCTTTCATTCCATGGCTTGCCTTTCTGCCAGGCAGCCGAACCCGCCACACATCATTCCGTTCATCCAAAAAACACAAATAAATAAGGCAGCAGAGAGAGACACAGCTTCGACTAGGTCACCAGCCCACCTCCTGCTGACTCACAGTGGAGAAGGTGGAGCCTGCATTCTGAACAGGGCCCTCTGGGGTCACCACAGCTGGCTTGAACCATCAGGCTGCACCCCCACAGATTTGGATCTGCCTGAGATTCTGGGTCTCCAGCCTCAGTGGAGATGTGACGGCTTTTCCAGCTTCAGACAAGGCCCAGCTTCCTGGACATGTGTATGGAATGACAGTTCAGGGCTCCTGTATCCCTAGCCTCGACTCTTGCCATCACCTGGAGGCCTCATCAACATGTTTCTGGTCTCTTTCTTATTCTAAGGGCCTAGAGGCTGATGGAGACTCCAGCCCCAGAGTGGCTGTGATCCTGATATGGCAAAGGCCCTAAATGGTAGTACAGCCAACAGGTGGTTTCCCACTGTGAGCCTACCCCTACAGTGGCCTTCTTTGTCTCTGTTTCAGGCTGTCATCCTGACTTCTGCTCCCAAAGACTCAACCTCGTGTTACCCCTCTGCTACTGACTCCACCTGGAAGCCAAGCTCTATGGCAGCTCCCTGGGCCTCGGTCAGGATGCTCTGACAAAGTCCATGAGCCTGGAAGCAGGACAGGGGGCTCCCGTGGCCCCTCTGTGGGGTTTGCTTCCCTCTCAGGTCACATTCTGGCTTCTGTGAACTGATTAGGTTCCCAGGAGCCTCATCCCAAGAACAGGCCTGTGATACAAAAAGGATTTCAGTCCTAACCAATTGAGAGGCCTTGCCCCTGGCTGGGAAGCCCCATTCCTGGCTTGGAGGCCCTAACCCTGGCTGGCAAACCCTGTCCTGTCTTGGAGGCCAGGCCTAGCAAGGTCTCACCCCTGTCCCCTCCTCCTCTGCAAGGAGTCTGCCCAGAGTCACCCTTCCTTCCCTTAACCCATTTTGCTTCTACATCTGGCTGCCTCATCTCCCTTAGAAGAGGCGCCAGTTTGGTGGTGAGGAACAGGGCTCACCTCACATCCTGCCTGCATGGGCTCCCCTCACATCCTCAGAGGCCTATGCTCTCATCTGGGGAAAGGAGGCATCAGGAAGATGACTACTTACCAAGGAGGATGCCCTAGGACAGCAAACCCCACATCTGTCTGCAGGGTGTTTGTGGGATGCTTCTGACATCTGGCAGGTAGAGCCCCGGGATGGTCATACAAGGCACAGGCCTAGGTGATCTCACATCGAAGAATGACCAGGTCCCAGCATCAGGGTGCCTTGTGGACAATCCCTGCCTGGGCCTCTCTCCAAAGGACTGCCTCTAAGACTCTTTAGAGTTCCTGAGGGGTCTTCCAGAGTCTTAGGTTGGCTGTGGTCTTTCTCTCCTTATGTGTCAAACTGTGGCTGGGAGTCTCTGTGGCTTGCACAGCAGGATGGACAGACAGCACAGACTCACGGATGCTATACCCCAGGTGTGCTTCTGAAGGCCAAGGAATAAATACTCAAGCTAAGCTTCAGAGAATCACTGTTCCCACTCCCTCTGGGGGAAGGCCCTTCTACTGGCAGCCAGTAGCTACAGTCAGGCCCCTGTGCCTACTTTGTGGGAAACCCTGTGTGAGCAGATTATAGAAACCTGTGGGTTTCTAAAGGAGGCTCCCAGACCCTAGGTGCCAGACCTCGAGGAAGTGTGGCTATGGGGCTTTCATGGGCCCCTGTAGCACCCTTAAATTCCAACCTCAGTCCTGTACTACCCTTCTTCCTCATGGAATTAGCCCGTGGTCTCACAAAAGGCTTAGGCCAAATTCCAGGCTTGGTTCCAGCCCTGCTGTGATGGACGGGGGCTTGCTGAGCTACTTCACACACAGGATTATTCCGAGGCCCAAGCAGATGGCAGGATATTCAGGGGGAAGCACCGTGCATCTGAGAAAGGAGCTCTCAGGAGCTGGCTGCGGTGGGAGGAGGAGGGGTTTGGATGGCAGTCAGAGAGTCTGCATCTCCTACCCACCCAAAGGAAAGCGGCACCTTCCCCAGCATGAGCAGAGTCTGGTAGCAAAACCTCAAGCTGTAGCGTCAGACAGAGGTCGAGGTTCTGCTCCTCAGCCCTGCTGCTCCCAGCACTACCATGGATCTTATCTACAGCCACTGAATAATACTTCCTATCCAGCCCATTATTCCTACCAGGGAAAAAATGCTTCAACAGCAGGAGTCAGCCTTGTGTGTACTGGGAAAGTATTTGAAGCTTCCTGAAATGCCAAGGAAGATAAGAATGCCC